TCTGCACAAATGGGAACAAAAACCGAATCCAGCATCCAGGCAGGAGAGAAAGAGAGAACAGGGGTGTACCTTTTTTGTACCCAAGGCCATGCCCAACCTGGTCCAGTCTCTCAAAGGCCATCACCTCCCCCTTTTGTCTAAATAAGAGAGCTCCAAACCCAATACAAAACTATATACAATAAGAACAGATACCAAGGGGCTGGAGAGATGGCTCAGTGGTTAAGAGCACTGACTGCTCTTCTAAAGGTCCTGAGTTCAATTCCCAGCAACCACATGGTGGCTCACAACCATCTGAAATGAGGTCTGGTGCCCTCTTCTGGCCTTCAGGCATACACGCAGAAAGATTATAGTATAATAAATAAATAAATAAGTTAAAAAAAAACCAGTCTGGAAAGCTTAATAAAACATTAAAAAAAAAGAACAGATACCAAGTATAAAAATTAGAATTACAAAAGCATAAACAATATTAAGCAAAATACATATGTTAAATGTTTTAATAATTATTTTATCCTAAGGAGTCTAACTCTTGTATTAAAAATGGCTTGTATAAGTCATAAGAGGAAAGTAACTACGGCTATTTAGTCTTCAACCCCATCTAAGGCCTGAGAAGGGAGATAATATTACTTGTGTAGGCAGGAAGTGCAATTAAGAAGCTTCTAAAATGTGCAACAAATGGCAGAGACAACTGCCTACCCGAGCAATCACCCAAAGTATCACTTGCAATGTTGGAGCAACCAACTTTGGCTAAGGCCTAGTGTAACTGACAAACCATTTTCAGAGGCAGGAAAATTTTCAAAACTGTCTTACCCTGTCTTGGTAAGGTTTTGACAGTGTTTTTGCTTATGTCCTGCTTGTCCTGTCTGGACATCATGTGTTTTGTCAGTGTTTAAGGCATGGGCAGTTCATTGCCCAAAGGCCAGTTTTGCCAAGAAGAAAACAACCTCCGAGTGGAGTGTCTTTGGTGCTCAACATTCTCTTGGGAATTGCCAGGAGCAATCATGTCTCAATTCAATAGAACCCTAAATTTTTAAATGCCTTATTTTATAGTTTTTTTTTAAGTGATTGAAGATTACCTACCTATGCAGAATACAATCTCTATGTATCTAAAGAACCTGATTAATATAAGTATAACAAACATGGATGACTATTGACCTATAATACTTAATACTTGTATAATTTAAAGACTAAGACTTCATATTAGAATATTAACATTTTTAAACAACTGTGCAACAAATGAGGACAATGGCCTCAAAATGTAAACAATGTATAAATATCTTCATCAGAGGTAGAAATGTATAATGTAATATGATAAATATATCCTAAAATTGTATCAATATACAAAATGTCTTAAACAGAGGTAGATACATGCATGCATACAATCTGACAAAATAACTTTGCATAGGTGTACAACTATTGTAAACAGAAATAGGAGCATATTCAATATAACAAATATAAATTGAATTTGTATCAATATAGAAGAACCTAAACCAATATAAATTGTCTATAAACAATAGCTCACAAGTATTATTCTATTACTCATTATTACTATTAGTGTAAGCTCTATTATCCCATCCAATTTCCCTTTTTTCCCCCAAAGAGATCCCTGAGTCTTCATAATTTCCACCCCAAGACCCAACCTTATACCAGTTATCATCAACCCCTAATTGATGTCCCTAACCCTGAGAACAAACTTTGTTGGGAGAGGGGACCTCATCTTCTAAAGTTACTTTCAGGTGTCATGGGGTACACGGAGAGTTTTTAGGTGACCAGAATAAAAAAGAAACCCAAAGCCTGGCGAGCCACTAACGGGTGACGCTGCAGGGATCGCTGTGGGAAAATCCCCCCGCGGCTGGAGAGGTTGCAGCAGCTTGCTTCTGATGCGGAGGGACCGAGCGGGAAGCGGTGATGTCGGTTAACTAATTTCACACTAACTCAAAATTAAGTAATAATTTTTTTTTTAATTAAAAGGGAACTCACAAATCACAGTCCTCTGCACAAAGGGGGAACAGGAACCGAATCTAACATCCAGGAGAGAGAGAGAGAGAGAGAGAGAGAGAGAGAGAGAGAGAGAGAGAGAGAGAGAGAGAGAGGGAGGGGGAGAGAGAGAGAGAGAGAGAGAGAGAGAGAGAGAGAGAGGAAGAAGGAGGAGGAGGAAGGAGGGCGGGGCGGAGGAAGGGAAGGGGGTGCATTTTTTGGTACCCAAGGCCCCGCCCAACCTGGTCCAGCCTCTCAAAGGCCATTGGCTGAAGGAGATTCCTCATGGCATGTAGTTGTCTGTCTCAGCTATAGGCACTAAGGCTTGAGAAGGAACGGACTTTCCAGCAAGGTGAGGGCGACCAGCCTTCTTCTTCCATACCCTCCACAAACGCTGCCAGCAGAAGCTGTGGCCCAGATTAAGGGTGGATTTTCCCACCTGAAAGGATCCGAGTTGAAGGTGGATCTTCCCAGCTCAAAGATCTGGATTAGGAGGCAGTCTTCCTACTTCAAATGATTTAATTAAGGAGAAAGATACCTTTCAAGTCTGGCCAGCCATTTGGGTTTTAGCTAATTCCAGACGCAGTCACTGGATAACTACGAACAGCCACGACAAGCAGGACGGAACGGAAAGACCAGCATCTATCTCTCCAGGTGCCGACTGTCCTCGACTGCAATGCAGGGTCTCGGGCGACCATCTCCCATTCTCCTGATGTCAGCCAACGAGTTGCTGCTGGCTGTAAGACTCTGGTAGAATAGTCTGGCTTTCCTTACACAGAGCCGGGTGTCTCCAAGAACAGAAAATAGAACTCCCAAAGCTCCCTGAGGCCTAAGCCTAGCTGTCACTCCAAGTCTGCCAGTCTACTATCCAAAGAAACACAAAGCCCACCCCAGACGAAAACAGAGGGGAGGCCACTTCACCTACTGGTAGGAAGAGGAGCAAGGTCACATGCCCTGTGCCTTATGTCAGTTGTGGGCATTACTGCAGTGGTCTCTCTAGGATCCACCAGAGGTGGGTCTGGGTAAAACATTTCCCCAGTTACCTGCAGCACGAACAAAAGTGTGGCCAGATCAATCGGTGATTTAGAAAGATGGGTTGGGTATTAAGATAAACCTTTTTATGTCATTATTGATACACAAAATAAGACACAAAGATAAGAACAAAATTTGGAAGTAAGATCAAAAGTGTTTTTAGATACATGGGTATTTTATTTGAAAGTTAAGATCCTTAACTTTGGAAGTCAGCATTTCAAAAACGATGTTATCCAACCCATAGAATGTAAATGGCCACTGTAAAGGTGGTCAGATCCATGGCATTAGTACCTGGCTTGAAGCGGACAAATCTCTGCACAACTGAGGTTTTATCAGGAGTCCTTTGTTAGAGCATCGCTCACTCTCACTGGGACTAAGGCAGGAAGCGCTTCTGGGAAGTGGTGTGATAATTTAGAGGAGCACTCTTTCCTGGGCAAAGTCTGAGTGTCCACGCTGCCTTTGGAGAAAGAGAATACCAAAAGTCACAAGCTGCATGGGGAATGGTGTGCTGGTTTCGATTAGAACAGCTCCATAGGCTCATAGAGTTGAAGGCTTAGTCAGCAGGGCGTGGCACTACTTGAGAAGGATTAGGAGGTGTGGCCTTGTTGGAGGAAGTGTGTCACTGGAGCTGGACTTTGAGGTTTCAAAAAGCCCAAACCAGACCCAGTGGTTCCTTCTTCCTGATACTGTGGATCTGGATGTAGAACACTCAGCTCCTTCTCCAGCACCAGGTCTGCCTAAGTGGTACCATGCTCCTAGCCATGCTGATAACAGTCTAAACCTCTGAAACGGTAAGCAAGTTCCAATGAAATGCGTTTCTCTTGCTGTGGTTATGGTGTCTCTTCACAGCAACTGCACACTAGAATACTGACTAGGACGGGGCCGGGGGCTAAGGGAGCACTCTGCCTCATACAGCCTGCTGCTTAGGAGACATGAATCAGGCTTGGCAATGCTTTTGATTTTGTTTTAGGCCCTTTGAGATGGAGTCTTGCTGTGTAGCCCAGACTGACTGGAACTCAGAGCCCTCTTGCCTAAGTCCTTGGGTGCTGGTTGGTATCAAGGCAGGCAGCATGACAGCCATCTTATCTGTGAGCATGACAGCCAACTCCACATCTACTTTTTCATTTGGATAAACCATGTTTTTCCTTGTATGGTAGTACTGCTTTCTTTCTGAGGCTTCTTCCCCCTTTAAACAATTTTCCAATTAGTGTTTCTTTGTTCTTAACATCTCTCTCTCGTAGTCAGTGTGCTTTGGGGCCTGTTGTTCATCCCTTGAAAATGTTATGGTGTTGCTTTTAAGTTTGGGGTGAAACCTTTCTTCCATGTATTCTTATAGAGATTGATTTATTTTACTTTAAGTGTCAGTGTTTTGTACATATGTATGTGCACCACTTGCATGTCTGTTGGATTCCGCAGAACTGGGGTTACGGATAGTTGGGAGCTACATGGGTCCTGGAATTGAACCCAGGTCCTCTACAAGAGAAACGAGTGCTCTCGGGCCACAGAGCCATCTCTCCAGCCTCTCACTTTCACTTTTTCCTTTGTACCCTACTTTCCGATATCTAAAAGTCAGCACTGGCATTCTCCAGGATCTCTGCTGTTGCTGGCTCACCGTGGGAAAATTCCAGGTCGCAGAGACTGCTGTGTGCTCACTGGGCAAGGAAAGCTGGCAGAGAGGAGTTGCCTGGCAGCCTGGGTTCTCTTATTTGAATAGTGAGCTTCTTTGCTTCTTTGACTTTCTTCAGAGGCTCTGGCTCCCTTTTTGAATTATTTCCCCAGTGAAAACTAAATCCAGTTCAGAAATCCCAGGCTGTTTCAGTCTGAGAAGTCGCTTTTGTTTGAGAAGCTGATACAGTACAGGGCTGTGGTTTTATTATTCTCACAGACAGCAAGAGCCGGCTCCGTGGCTCTCATGAAAAGCTCCGTGACTAACAGGATTCTTTCTTTTTCTTTTTAGGGGTTACTTCCCCCCACTTAGCTGCCAGGTCATCTCACGGTGGTTCTCTGAAGTGATTTATTCACAGGACTGGAGAGTTGGGAACTATCGGGTTCCCTTTCACCACCTGAAAACAGCACCCCCATTTCTCTGAGCTGGGCAGGCAAACAGCTCCTTGCTGGGCTGAGGGGAAAAAAAAATACTTGACTCCTACCTGTTGTGGTGCTGGAGAAGTCCTGAGCACACAGGGCTGCGAGCCTGCCCATGCAGCCTGCCGTCTGCTGCAAAGGCAAGACTTAGCTGTACAGCCAAACTAGAGGTGGAGGTACTGATGCAGGAGGCTTGGAAACTCACTCAGCATGGACGTCACACATAGTCAGAATGTGTGGCCACTGGAACTCAACAGGCATTTTAACCCCCAGGTAAGTCTCAGTTTTTGTTTCCTTGCCTCTCTTCTCCTCTCCCAAAGGTTAGTCCATACCTACAAACTGCTGGAAACTCCTCCAGAGTATATCCTTCTTTCCCCAGATAGTTTATACAGGCAAGGGAGATTTTGAGAAGACATACATGGAGGACCACTGTGGTAGCTTCCGTGTAATTGGCCCCATAAGCTCACAGGGAGTGACACTATCAGGAGGTGTGACTGTTGGAGTAGGCGTGGCCCTATTTGAGGAGGTGTGTTTCTGTGCAGGCAGGCGTTGAGGTTTCCTGTGATTAAGTTTCCCTCCGTGTCACAGTCCACTTCCTTCTGCTTTCTGGTCAACATGTAGCCAGCATCATGTCTACCATGTTCCCTGCGATGATGATAATGGACTGAGTTTCTGAAACTGTAAGCGAGTCACCCCAATTAAATGTTTTTCCTTAAAAGAGTTGTGGTGGTCATGGCGTCTCTTCACAACAATAGAAACCTTAATGGCAGTGTAGCTCAATTGGTAGAGTGCTTGCCTGGCTTGCCTGAAGCCCCAGACTGTCTGTCATAAACCTATGATCCCACTCCAGAGATAGAAGAATCAGAAGTTTGTGGTTGTTCTCTGCTTTACAATGAGTTTGAGGCAAGCCTGTACAGTATAAGACCCTGTCTCAAAAACAAATAAATGAAAACAAACGAACAAAAATAATAAAGAAAGAAAGAGCCACAAAACAAAGAAGAGAAAACACAGTAGTTGGAGAAATCCGCTCAGTACCTTACTGTTGTAATAATAGCTAGGGAAACATGATGAAGGTGTCTCCAGGCTTGGCAGCTTTCAAAACTCCGCTTGGGACAGAGGCCAGTCATTCACACTGAATGCATCAGGACAGGCTGGATTTGCTAAGGATGTGGAAAATCAAGATGCCACCCTGTGGAACGCAAGGGTCAATGCAGCTCCTGATAATCCTTTGGGGAAAGCTGTGTCTAAATTCTCCAGCTTTTAGCCTCTGCCAGGGGCTCTACAGCAGGCTTCCAATTGCTTCAGCTCCTAAGTCAGTCATAACGGAGTAGGTCAGCATAGCAGAAAAGAATGACTAGGAAAGAGAAAGGAGAGTGAGTATCTGAAGCAGACGGCATTTCAGGTAGGAAACTGGTGTTCAGGAGATGGGAGAGCTTAGAAGCTAAATGGCCCCCCAAAACTCATAGAGTAGCACTATTGGAAGGTGTGGCTTTGTTAGAGTAGGGATGGCCTACTCCAAAGACAGCAAGAGCAGGAAGACTGCTTCTCACGTGGAAGGGAGGATATTTTTACCAGAGAGGCGGAGACCCTAGGGACACCTGGCAGCAAGCCACCGAGTGTTTCTGCAGGGAGCTGGAGTCACGAAGCCCTGCTCAGATACTGCCTCGGAGAGTGGCCTGAGTTGCTTTTCTCTTTCATCTTGTTTTGCTTTTCAGTTTTTGTTGTTGTCTTTGTCCTCTTGACACAAACTAGAGTTATCTGGGGAGAGGAGTCTCAGTTGAGAAAATGTCCTGATCAGATTGCCTGTAAGACAGGAAGCAGGGCGCCTACTTGATTCATGATTGATGTGGGTGCCCAGCCCATTGTGGGTGTACCAACCCTCCCTGGGCAGATGATCCTGAGTTGTATAAGAAAGCAGCCTGAGCAAGCCGTGAGGAGTTAGCCAGTATGTGGTGTTCCTTCAAGGTTGCTGCCTTGAGTTCCCTCAGTGATGGAGCTGAGAGAGTTGTGAGCTGAAATAAGCCCTGGCATCCCCAGGTTGACTTTTGGTCATAGTGTTTTATCACAGCAGCAGAAAACCTAGCTGAGACAGAGAGGGAATAGAAAAATGTCCTGGGGAACACAGCTGCATGGGCCAGTCTTTCGGGCTCTAGAACCAGAGAGTGGAACATGGGATTGGTTCAGGCGGAAGCCCCGCACTCTAGGTGGTGGAGGGAGCTTGAGATTAAGTCTTGTTGGGTGTGGGCCTCATGTCTCTGGTTCTGGCTGCTGTAAAATCTGCCAGTGGCAACCCCTCCCCCACTGTGAGGTGATCCGGTGGAGGGCAATGATTAAAGTCCTACACTGTGCCACACGCTTCATAGAATGGGCCAGGTGGATGATACATGCTTCATAGAATGGGCCAGGTGGATGATACATGCTTCATAGAATGGGCCAGGTGGATGATACATGCTTCATAGAATAGACCAGGTGGATGACATATGTATTAAAAACTCCCTGAGGGTTGGGGAGATGGACAAGAGGATAACGCTCTTGCAGTATAAACATAATGACCCAAATTTGGACCCCCAGAACCCACATAAAAGCCGTAATCAACTTGCAATGCCCATACTATGGAGAGCCGAGGAAACCCCAGTGTAAGCTGGATAGGCTGGCTGAATCAGTGAACTGTGGGTTCAGTAAGACATCACCCTCCAGAGAATTAAGTGGAGAGTGACCGAGGAAGAAGGCTGATGTCAAATTCTGACCCCCCACATGGGCACACACATGTACAAACAAAAAAAAAGCGCCCTCAAACTTAGTCATAAGTTAAACGGCCCTCAATAAAAGGCATAGTGTAATAAAACACTAAAAGCAAATGTTAAGTCACACCGCAATGTGCTTGCCTCTTCATCTGAGTTGTTTCCTCTTTACACTCATGAAGCTCCCGCCCCCCCCCCAGTAGGACTGTGTTTGTCAATAGGGCTTTGGAGGGAGGTAATCACAGTGAACTGAGGTCATCAGGACAGGGCCCCAGGAAAAGGAAGAGGACAGGAGTGACTTTCTGTGAGCGCACAGTGAAGAGGCCATCTGAGGACACATCAAGACCATGATTTTCTGTGAGGCAGGAGAGGGGCCTCTCCAGCACTAAGGCTGCCAGCACTTTGCTCTGACTCACATCCTTGCAGCCTCTAGGAATATCAGGATACAAGCCTCTAGCTTGTGGAGTTCTATTGTGGCAACCAGAGTTAAGTGAGTGCTACACGAGCTAGGTAGCTCTTAGTCATCTATCTCTTTGTCTGCTTTGTTTCTTTACTTCAGAAAAAAAGAGAAATTTTCCTCCTCCTAGCAGGGATTTTGGGGAGAATTAAATGCAATACGGAATTAAAGTACACAGTATGTGATAAGTGTAACAGATTTTTACAACACGCAACTGAATTTTTGCCTCAGTACCCCTGGCCAGATTTCAGATAGACCTACCACAGCAGACCCTGCCTACCAGCTCTCCGGATCTTCTTTGCCTTTTCCTTGGATTCTGCCCTCACCTGCAGATGTCATTTGACATCCCAGTGGCATTGCTCAGAACTGTCACCTGCTGTTTCTTCAACTGAATGCACTCTGCTCCAGGTGTCATATCTATCCTGAGCATGCTATCATTGTGTGCTTTGACGGCATCATATACTGAGTGTACCGTTGTTGAGCCTGCATCCTGTCTGTTTTCCGTAGCCCTCTCCCTTCTGCTCCTGGCTCCGTCTCTTAGGCCTGTGTGCTGAGTTTAGTCCAGCAAGATGCCTGCTATAGGACTCACTCACCTGGGAAAGCTCCAGAGTGTCCTATCTGTCTAAAGTTCTAAGAGGGATGGGGGGCAAAACAAAATACGCCTATTTCAGAGCACAACGGTTCAGGGGATATTCTTTAAGCTTTGGTTGTAGGTTTATTTGGGTTGGATTTTGGAGGAACTTCTCTGTGAGCGGGGCCATGGCCACAGCAACTGGGTCCAGCCTCCTACATTCCAGTCTCTTCTCGGCACATTGCTGTTGGCTTATGCAGTGTGATCTTTGGGAGTCTATCTGAGGTTGGTTGGGTGGTTTTCCAATAGTGCTTGTCAAGTTTGTAATGGATCCTTGTTTACACCGCTTCTATGTCATCACAAATGACCTTAGACAGCACACACTTACTGCTTCAGAATTCCTGCAACTTTTTAGTCTCTTAAAATGGAGGAAGGTATAATGCAGGAGAGACACCCGTGGCTTTCTCCCCCTCATCTGCTCTGAATTTTCTCACAACCATTTAGTGTAGACATTCAGAGGGTTTTTAGATGCTTGGATGCAAATACTCACCCACAGGCACTGTCATTTTAATAGAAAGCCACCTCAAGCCAAGCATGGTTCCTACCTAGACAGTATTCTTATCTGCAAGTGTGAAATAGCTTAAGTCAAAAGAAAAATGGGAGCCATGGGCTTTCTCTTTTGTTCTGTTTCTCTCATGTCAATATTCCCGCAGGCTGGAAACAGAAGCTGTGTGACTCTTAGCCGTGAGATTCACATCTAGAGAGGCTGGTCTACGGTCTTCACTCCTGAATAGAACATTCCCAACAAGGACTTTGATTGATCTATGTACCATTTTAAAAACACTGGGCTCCAGGCCGCAAAAGCCCCAATGTAGAACAACTTAAACAACTGTATTTTGTCTTTTACAAGAATCGAGATGTCCAGAGTTGAGTAGCTGCTCCGTGTCTCGCTGACGCCGTGGATCTTGCCCCGTGGTCTCAACGGATGATGCTACTCTACACCCCGTTCCCTTGCTTGACAGTCTTTTAACTCTGTTGTTCTCCAGAGCAAAACCGAATGTAAAGGCTTGTGCATAGGATACTGGGGTGCGGGGTACAGGACCAGGGACTAGGAGGATGATACTGGAGGAAGAGAGAAAGATAACACAGAGGCCATTACTGAGTGCGCCTTGCTTCCTTCTGTCTTTACTGTGATAGAGGAAAGACTTACTTACGTGAAGACAGGTGAAGACATTGCATCATGGCAGGAAGGCACGGAAGCGGATGCTATGCACCACAAGTCACACTGCATCTGTATTCAGGAAGCTGAGAGAGGTGTGTGCTGGTGTTCAGCTCACTCTCTCCCTTTCAGACCTCCAAGACCCAGCCCATGGTACAGTGCTAGTCACACTTCGGGTGGCTCTTCCCCAAATCAGTTAACACAATCTAGCAGATCCTCACACGTGTGTCACAGTTACACTCACTAGTATAATCACCACAGGGTGAAGCGTAGATCCTGTTGGGACCTTCTAGGAGGCCTTATGAGATGTACCACAGACTGTTTTTCCCGAGGAACCAAAGGAGGCATTTTCCTTCAATACTCCAGTCTCCAACTACCCACTATGACAGTGATCAATTTCTAGCCCCCTCCCTCTATGTAAGTATGTGTGTATAATACATGGTGTGTAGATGAATACTACTTCATTTTATAGAAGATCTACACTTTGGTTATCTGCCTACTACCGAGCATTTACACCCCTTTGTTTGCCTAGGGATAGGGACTGAATCTAAGGTCTTAGACATGCTAAGGAAGTTCTAGACTACTGAACTGTATAGGTCACAGCCTTGGCTTTATATCGAGTTACATGTGTGTTGGAAGGGGCAGTTGGCTTTGGTGAGTGGTTTGGTCCTAGGGCCAAGGATACCTCTTTTATCTCGTCTTTAGATATGGTGCTTTTTAAAACATATAGCCATATTTCATCTTGCCAAAGTACAACTATCTCACACTAACCTATTCAGAACAAAAATAGAAAAGGAATAAAAATAGCCCTGAAGTAGCCAAGTAGTTGCCAGACAGCCACAGAGCCCAGATGGAGCCTGCAGCCACATGCGTGGTGTCATTCTGCCTTTGTCTTAAGCCTCATATACTTTACTCATGAGAGAGCCCTTTATTAGGGTTCCACTTAACCTCATTTTCCTAAAAATTCTAATGAGTTTGGTATCCTAGTTACTATTTCCACAGCAATGAGAAGGGGAAGGAAGTTGCTTGAGGAAGTCTCATGAGCAAAACCAAAATCAGAAAACAGAGACAGGGGAGGGCAGGGCAAGCGGAGCAACCACCACTCTGCAGGGGTGGCAGAGACACACTGAAGACGGGCGGAAATCCTGCACCCACAGCACAGCGAAGAACCAAGGTTCTCAGTCAGAAACGACCGTCGAAGCTGCTTCCAGCACACTCCTTAAGAGGCAGGGAAATGAATAATTTATTTTAGGCTATTATATCTTTCCATGTGGTATTGACTGGATCTGATTATCCTTTCCGTGAAATATGTTTTACAGTGATTTCCCAATAGATAGGTTTAAAAAGATGAAGAAAGTTGATTGTAAGGCCCCAGGGAGCTCTACTTTCCAAACAGCCATTTTCCATGAAGTTCTAGCCAAGCAATCTCATTCAGCTAGACAGATGGGGAGTGCACGTAATGGCTCCCAGCCTTCCCTCTAAGTCCTGTAGTTGTGAAGACACTAAGAAATCCAGTTTTAAAAGGCCCTTTTCATAGTCTTAAAATATTTTTTTTGCCAGGTGGTGGTGGTGTACATCTTTAATCCCAGCACTTGGGAGGCAGAGGCAGGCAGATTTCTGATGTGGGATTCCTCTCTGTATGCTGTAAATATGTTTTATTGCCGTTGGTTAGTAAAGAAGCTACTTTCGGCCAATGGTTTAGCAGAGTAAAGCCAAACAGGAAATCTGAACAGAGATATATAGAGAAAGTAGGCAGAGTCAAAGAGATGTGTAGCCATTGCAGGAGACTGAATCTTACCAGTAGGCCACAGCCATGTGGCAATACACAGATTAATAAAAATGGGTTTATTTAAGATGTAAAAGCTAGCTAGAAATATGCTTAAGCTATTGGACAAACAGTATTGCAATTAATATAGTTTCTGTGTAATTATTTTGGGTCTGGGAGGCTGGAAACAAATGAGAAGTCTCCGTGTTTAGAATGGCACCTACTATCGGGGGGCATGGATCCATATAAGACCTAAAATAAACTTAATAAAAAAAGAGGGCTTCCAGACCCATAAAAACAGGTGTTTAGCACAGTTTCTTGGTAGCCACATTTTTTTTCAGGTAGGCTCTGTTAGCTGGTGGCTAGCAGGGGTGCCAGGGTTCCTTTAAGAAATGACTCAGCATAAGAAAGGGTGGCTTCCTGGTTCAGGCATCATAAACTCTGGCTCTTTCTGGAGGCCAAGACTTGAATGGAGATTACGGGCAGCATACTCCAAGTTTTTTGGGGGCAGCGTGGGCCAACTGGTTACTAGATTTGAGGTGACGAGGACGGTGATGAACATGCATGTGCCATGTTGGACTGGGCAGAGCCAGAAGGCAAAACAGCCATAGTCCTAGCCATACCACTTAACATTTTAAGAAGCAGTCCTGGTGAGAAAATTATTACAGATATGCAATAAAGATAAGTTCAGATGGAAAAGACCTCTAAATGGGCCACAATGTTCGATAAATGAATATAACCTTGAGAAAGAGAGAGAGAGAGAGAGAGAGAGAGAGAGAGAGAGGAAAAAGAACATAGTTATAATATAAAAGAGTATAGCCATAAATTAAAGTAGTAAAGATAACTAAATAAATATTAAACTTGTAGAAAAAGTAATAGAGTAAGAAAAATAAGCCACATAAAGATGGGATATATACAGAGAGTCTGGATTATTATATTGTTGTGTTTTCTCTGAAGTTTTTTGACTGTGAATGAGCTAAGTAGGTAGATATATTTCATTGTATGGGCGGCTAAAGCTAAATCAACACATACATTTTAAAGGTATCTTGACTTCAAAATTTGGGTCTAAGGATATGTTGCTTTGGAAAAGAGGTTCTGATTTTGTTTCCACAGAGGATGAGAACTGATGGAATCATTCCAGACTAATGTGGTTTGATGGACCAAGACCCCCCTCCCCAAAAAGGTCTCCATAAAACCCCAAAAAAGAAAATGCTTTGCCCAACTAAAAGCAGGAAGCAGTTTGGAGACAACTATGCTGAAATTCCCAAATATTGTTTATAAATGTTTGTTTGCATTTAAGGGGGGGTATGCTATAGAGATGAATACTTTGCATTGGTATGGATCTTGGTTTATTGATATGAATTTAAGGTCAGTTTTGTTATATGTATATTTCTGCTTTTTATTAAGGTATCTTGGTTTGTGCAACTCATTTAGACAGTCATCTATAACAGTGAAACTTGTAGTCATGTTAATTAGGTTTTCTAGACATACAGAGATATATTTCAGATGTATAGTTATTTTTCAAACCTTTAAAATACTAACAGAATATGGCATTTAAAATGTTTTAAGGACTTGAGACTTTTCATGACAGTGAGACACATCTACTTCTGGCAGCACCGATCTACTTCAAGTAGAAGATGGGTATAAAGGAGGCTCTTTATGGACTTTGCTTGCCTTTTCAGCAAGAAACTTCTCTTGCCTAGACTGCTTGATGTCATGCTTTTTGAACTGGACATGCAGGACCCACATAAAAATGACTGCTGAACTTGCCTAAAGGTGAGACAGTCCTTCAGGATTCATGTGAGTCTGCTAGACATTCTGCAGGACACAGAAGAAAGTGACTGACAAACTACCAGTGTAGGCACAATTGTCTTTGAAATTTCCTGCTGTTTGGAAAAGTCTGCCAGATACTATGGGCCTGTAGGCTGAAGATGGGTACCCCAATGTTATAGAAGAACATTGAGTGACTGACCAGGCAGTGAGATTTCTCTGTCAATTCTAGAGTTTTGGAAGTTGCTCACAATGCACTTCCTGTTAACTTAGGTAATATTATATTCTTCTGGAGTCTTTGATGGTGTTGAAGAATAGATAGGTATAATTATAGTTTTCTTAGTTATGATAAAAGGTAACATAGATATAAATATTGTAGCTGTAATTCTTGCTTGATGCCTGTTTTGTATATGTAATCTTGTTATGCTAAAGTTAAAACCTTCCTTTTTATTTAGACAGAAATGGGAAGGTGATGTGGGATTCCCCTCTGTATGTTGTAAATGTGTTTTATTGCCATTGGTTAATAAAGAAACTGCTTTTGACCAATGGTTTAACAGAGTAAAGCCAGTCCAGAAATCCAAACAAAGATGCAGAGAGAAAGAGAGAGTAGGCAGAGAGTCAAAGAGATGCCATGTAGCTGATGCAGGAGACAGTCACTGGACATAACCTTACTGGTAGGCCACAATCATGTGACAATACATAGATTAATAGAAATGGGTCAATTTAAGATATAAGAGCTAACCAGTAAGAAGCATTAGCTAATAGACCACACAGTATTGGAATTAATACAGTTTCTGTGTGATTATTTCAGGTCTCTGCAGCTGGGAATGAACAATCAGCCTCCATCAACAGGTCTCTGTGCCTTTGAGGCCAGCCTGCTCTACAGAGCAAGTTCCAGGACAGGCACCAAAGCTACACAGAGAAACCCTGTCTCAAAAAACCAAAACTAACCAACCAAACAAATAAATAAAAAATCCCAAAATTTTCTGCAAATTTTGTATCATAATTTATTTAGTGTGTATGTTCATTTATATGGTGTGTGTGTGTGTATGTATGTGTGTGTATTTGTGCACACATATGCACTCGGGCATGTGTGGATGTTAGGAGGCAACTTGTGGGAGTTTGTTCTCTCCTTTCACTATGTGGGTTCAAGTTTGAACTCAGGCCATCAGGCTGGTTGGTAAGTGCTTTTATGCAGTGAGCCATGTTGCAGGCTCTATGTTTTCTCTTGACTGGCATAAATCACCATGTATGAAATTTCATGAGGAAGGGCAAGTTAGAATCACTATTAGTCTTTGTATAGTGATGATTTCGGTCAAAGAAGCAAATGTTGCAACTTCCATCTACCCTTCTAGAAGTTTTCATAAATGTTAAAGGTAAGTTAGGAAAAAAGAGGTTTTCTTAACTTATAATACATAGATGGAAGTTTCTGTCCCACCAGCTCCCACATCCATTCAGTCCCAAAGAAACACACAGAGGCTTATATATAAATTATAAACTGTTTGACCTGTTAGCTCAGGCTTATTATTAACTAGCTCTTATAACTTAAATTAATCCACAATTATTGTCTATGTTTAGCCATGTGTTTTGGTACCTTTTCTCAGTAAGGCGTTCTCATCTTGCTTCCTCTGCATCTGGCTGGTGACTCTCTTTTCTTTTTCTCTTCTCAGATTTCTCTTAGTCCAGTTGCCCTGTCTATACTTCCTGCCTGGTTACTGGCCAATCAGCATTTTTATTAAACCAATATGAGTGACAAATCTTTACAGTATACAAAAGTAGTTCCCCTTTTTTTCTTTTCAAAACAAGACCCTGAATCCAATCTCCTTTGTTTAGCTTTTTTCCCTGACCATTATCCATAACACCTTGTAACCAACACACTAAACAAAGACAAACATTTATTATCCATTTTTGGGGAATGTGAGCATAGTTTCCTTGACTACTTCCTGCTGATTGGGGGCACTAATAATCTTATGGGGACCCAAAGAAAGTTTAGGATTATGATCCAGTCCTGACTGGAGTATTCAGTGAGGTTGGGTCATCTCAGCCAGCAGTCTTGAAGTTATTCTGGATGTAGAACTGAGAGGAAACTGCAACAAAGGTGCTCTAAAATGTGGGATCATCTGGGCCACTTACTCTTAATAGAGATTTTTCAAGGGTCTTCCTTGAATAAACCTTAGTTTTCTTAACCCAGAATGAATTCACAGCCTCTCATTTTCTGTGGAAACAAAAGCAAAACCTCTTCTCCAGAGTAACATATCTTTTGACTTAAATTTTGAAGTTTTGAAAATAAATAGATTGGATCAATCCAACAGCATTATAATCAAATGTCTTTTAGTTTTAGGAGCTGTTGTTCCTTTCTCAGCAGTCAAATAATTCAAAGACAACACAATAATATACAATATAAAAATTCTCTGTGTATTTACCATCTTTACATGGCTTTTTATTTTAGTCTACTTCTTTTATTTTTAATTTTTGTTTTTCTTGAGACAGGGTCTCTCTGTATGTCTTTGGCTATCTTGGATCTTATTCTGTAAACTAGGCTGGCCTCAAATTCACAGAGATCCACTTGCTTCTGCCTCCCAAGTGCTAGGATTATAGATGTGTACCCACTATATCCAACTGCTCTATTTTTTTTCTTTCTTTCCTTCCTTCCTTCCTTCCTTCCTTCCTTCCTTCCTTCCTTCCTTCCTTGGATGAAGATCATTGGTTAAATAAAGAAACTGCCTTGGCCCTGATAGGACAGAAAATTAGGTAGGAGGAGTAAACAGAACAGAATGCTGCGAAGAAGGGAAGTGAGCTGAGAAGCCATGCTGCTGCTCTCTGGGGCAGACACGATGAAGCTACGACCAGGATGGACGTAGGCTAGAATCTTCCTGGTAAGCGCACCTCGTGGTGCTACACACATTAATAGAAACAGGCCAAGCAGTGTTTGTATGAATACAGTTTGTGTGTCGTTATTTTGGGGCATAAGCTAGCCAGGCGGCCGGGAGCTGGGTGGCAGGAACACAGCCCGCAGCTCCTACTACCTTTCTTTCTTTCTTTCTTTCTTTCTTTCTTTCTTTCTTTCTTTCTTTCTTTCTTCCTTCCTTCCTTCCTTCCTTTCTTCTATCTTTCTTTCACTTTTTAAAGTAATTTCTCTATCCTTTTTCTTTTCTCCCCAAAGACCCATGTATATTTTTAAACACATGGTAAACCATTTAGAGGTTATTTTCCCACCTGAGTCTGTCTTTACGGTATATCTCTATCTTTTCCTGACCACATGAGTCTTTAATCTGCCTAGTGATATGGCTAGGATTAAAGTTCTGGTTTTGGCGACTAGCTCCACCCTATTCCTTAGCTTTTTGAGAGTCTAGCTTCATGGCAAAGGTACAGGCAGGAGTCAAGTTTATTGCCACAACCCTGTGGAATGTCTAGGTCCATGCTACCACCAGAAGCATGCTGCTGGCTGTTCATAAATATCATTTAAGTGTTTGGTGGCAGAACCTCTTAAAAAAAGCTACAAGGTTTTTGCTGCTACCATTGAGTCAGGAAGCCTCTCTTAAAGGAGCTGCACCTCTGCTTACCACCAGCAAACAGAACTTACAGGAAAAAAGACAATTACCAAGAAGCTGTGCTTGATTCTGATCTTGTCTGTCTAGAATCCTTTTTTAAAAATCTTCTCAGGCTTTATGTGGAAATTCTTGTCAAACATTTGGGTGCCATTTGTAGATGGAAGTTTCTAAACTTCCTGGTCCTGCAGCCACTCTGTCCCAAAGAAACAGAGGCTTATATTAATTATAAACTGTTTGACCTGTTAGCTCAGGCTTATTAACTACCTCTTACAACTTCAATTTTCCCATATTTTTTTTCTATGTTTAGATACGTGACTTGGTACCTTTTCTCAGTAAGGTATTCTCATCTTGTTTCTTCTGTATCTGGATAGTGACTTTCCTCTGCCTTTCCTCTTCTCAGAAGTCTCTTAGTCTGGTTGCCCTTCTAATACTTCCTGCCTGGCTATTGACCAATCGGCATTTTATTAACAAATATGAGGGTCAAATCTTTACAATGTACAAAAGCATTATCCTATAACATTTATATAATGATTTTTTTTCTAGGCAGAGAGAAATTTGGATTTTTTTCTACAAAAGCTTTAAAAACAGTGTGTCATTTGTTAGGTTTGTTTTGCTACATTGGAATCCTAGCAAGGTACAACTCACAGACTCTTTCTCCCTCTCTATTTACTTGAAATGAACTAAGAGTAGTAAAAAGAGGCCTTTTTTTTGCCATGCTGTGCAATTTTGTAGTACAATGTATCACTCCTTATGCATAGTCAGTCCCAACAGAGTCATCAATGCTACAATTTCACTTTGTCCCTTCATTGTCGTTTCTTCTTATATCCTTCATTTTTATTTATTTATTTACTCCCGTCTCATAGTCTTTGAATAATGGCCCTCAAAAATGTCCTTATCCCAAACCAAAAAACCATTGATCAATAGGAATTATAGTTGCAGGTGGAAATGAAGTTGCCTGTCAGATGGCAGCACAATAAGGAGATTAGCTAAGCTGCTAACTGAGTATGATAAGGATGAAAGGCCTATGGCTTTGAAGAAAGAAAAGGTCTCAAGGAATTGTAGCTACTTGCAGACACTAAGGCAAGAAACTGATTGTTTCTTGCGTGGCTCTGCTGACACCTGAAGTGGTACAACAGACATTGGAAACGAACGTACATGCTTCTAAATTGCCTTGAAGAGGTGGTCGTGATTATTCAAATACATATTTGTTGTGGGAGTTCATTCAGCCAATAGCCTTTTGGGTACTGGCCCAGTAGGGTATGGTCTGATAATGTACTTTGTGTGGACTGATAAACACAGACAGGAAGCATGCTCACTCTCTTGGGAGGTAGACGGAGTTCTGTTTGCAGCTTCCAGCACCCACAGAGCAGAGGACTATGGCTCTCTACCCTTGTTGCGAGTTTTTCCCCAAATGAATATTTGTTATCCTTTATTTCGGGCTGTCATGAATTTCCTTAATAATACCTACACATACTGAACAAGATGAAACAACTTACTGATCTGTCAGTCAACTCACTGGGAAACTAAACACTGGGCCTGAACTAAGGTGGAAATTATTATTATTTTTTTTTTAACAGAACTTGCCTCAAGTTTATTTGTAAAAACAGCATAAGGTCCTGAACATCTGCAAATACTGTGTAGGTGTTCACACCAGTCCATCTATCTTCACATTGGCAAACTGCGACCTTTTTTATGGGGCCTTCACAGGGGCCTGGGCACCTTTAGGAGCCTGAGCTGCAGCTGAGGCCTCTACCTTGGCTTGAACCTTGGGCTTTGTTTTTTGGAGCCTAAGACCCCTGGCCATGTAGCTTCTAATCCGCTTCCCAAGCTTGGGGTGAGCAATTAAAGCCAGACGAGTGAGTTTGCGGGTGGGGCCCTTTGGCACCTTGGGCTTCACCACCTGGGGCTTCACCAGGGCCTTGATGGCCTCCGCAGGTGCACTCATGGCCTTTGCATTATTTGCCTGCTTCTTCTTCAGGACTTTCTTGTGCTTCTTGGCAAAGCGCATGTTCCTCAGGAACTTGGGGTCAACACCCTTGAGAGATTCATATCTTTGTGACCGGGGTTTCTTGATGCCATTTCTGTGCCATTTCCGGGACTGGTTGTGTGTGGTGTTGTTCTTGGACTTGGCCATGGCTGGACGGTAATCGGAGCCTGCGACCGGAAGAGAGCCCAAGGTGGAAATTATAAGTTCACAAAAATTCAATTAAATTTGTGTTAGACCATAGACTTGACAGAAGAAAGCGTCCACAAGAAGCTATTGACTAGCTATGGCTTTTACTACAGTCATTAGCTTTTCAAGCCCTAAGGTCTTATTTCTGAGTATGTTAAACAACACAACTTCTGTATGGATATTTTATATCTTTAAAGCCATTCATACATAAAAAGGA